ATATTAATAATAGGGAAAATTGTATAGGGGAGTGAAGTGGGGAGTGAAGGGGCCTATGGGAACTCAATGTACTGTCTCTTCAATTTTCTCTAAACCTAAAATTACTCTAAAAATGAAGTCTATTAATTTTAATATATATAAATTAGATGTTGTTTTATATATATATATATATAAAAAAAATTAATGAATAAAAATTTAAAAATGATACCTTGGCTGAATGGTTTTAAAGGGCACTCTTTTTGAATTTAGGTGTTAAGGGCAGCTAACACCTAAATTATCCAGATAATGCAAGAATATTTTCAAGAAGCCAAAGATCCCAAATTCCTTTGAACAAAATACCAAAACCAAATGGAAATTACACCCCAAAAGAAAGCCACAACCTAGCCTTACTTAAAAATGAAAATGCAAACATCTAATACAATTTTAGCAAAGAAAATACAGCCATGTATTAAAAGAAAAAAATTATATGTTTAACATTTTATTCTAAAATTTTTAGAAAGGGCCAATATTTGGAAATTTATTAAGGGGAATTCCACATCAAATATTTTCAGAAAATAAACTCTTGGCGATTCACCATGCACATTAACATATCAACAATTTTGCAGTCCTATAGTACAGCAACCTGGTTTTGGTTTAAACCAGTTTCCCCAAACATATTTGACAAGGGAACATGCTGTTACTTTTAAGTTTTATCCACTAACATCCCATAAAATACACTGCTCAATGCAGACATGTTTCTCTCCTTCAAGTTGCATAAGGGGCTGTAGCAGGCAGACTCATGGTCCCAAGATGCCCATGTCCTAATCCCTGCAACCTGTGAATATGTTATCTTACATGGCAAAGGGGAATTAAGGTTGTTAATCAGCTGACTTTGGATAAGGCAATTATCCTGAATTAACTAGAAGTGCTCAATGTCATCACAAGGGCTTAAAAATGGAAAAGGGAGGCAGAAGAGAGAATCAGAGAAAGAGATATGAAGATAGAAACAGGTCAGAATGATGTGAGAATGACTTGACCTGCCCTTGCTGGCAATGCAGATGGAAGAAGGGGCCATGATCCAAGCAACGTGAGCAGACTCTAGAAAATGAAAAAGACAAGAAAGGGATTTCTTGAGAACCCTTTAGAGCCTCTTCGAAAGATTCCAGGAAGGAATGCATCCCTGCTGACACCTTGATTTCAGCCTGTTGAGATCTGTGTTGGGCTTCAGAAGTGTAAGATAATAGATTGGTGTTGCTTTAGCCACTGAGGTTGGGGTATTTGTTACAGCAGCAACAGGAAACTAATATACAGACTGTCTGTTTCAATACTTCCTTAGAAAAACCCCTAGCTTATTTTTGGTCTTCTACAATTAAACTTGAGAAATAAACATACTGAAGGGAAAGTGAGTTGGAATTAGTACCAAGTCAAAATTTTATAGCATTTTTACAGTATAATTGTCAGGTTCATTATTGTGGCTGTGGTGCAGTAGGAATAATACAGAACTTGCAGTTTTAATGTTTGTGTAATCTTGAGAACACCTTTTTTTCAGGTTGTTTTTTCTTTTATGCTATCTCATGGAGTTATTGTGAGAACTCAGAGTCACTATTTGACAGTACTTGAAAGCAGGGCTTTAGGGTGACTTGCAGGGTTTGAAACCTGGCTGTGGTCCTTGCTGGCTGTGTCATTTTGGGGAATTTCTCTCCTGCTTACCCTGCCTATCTTACCCCACTTCATTTCTTATTTCCTTTCCTTTTTCATGCAAATTTTGCCAGGTAATACACTCATATGTGTTAAAAACCAATAAATTTATTATAAAATTTCAAACAGTGACACATTTTTGTCTTAACTTTATCATATATCTGCCTGGTTCCCCCATCACCTCCTCTCTGTGACATGCACCCATAGGTACCCACTGTTCTTAGTTTCTTACGTATATTCCAGAGTTATGAAATTGAAGACAAAAAATAGAAATTCATATTTTACATAAAAGGTGTATACATTTTATACATTATATACATCATATTGCACTTTTCTTTTTTTACTTAAAAATGTATCCTGAAGACCATTCTCTATGTGCACATGGAAGGCCCCTTTATTGTTTTTATTTTTCCCAGTTGTATGATATAGCTAAATGCATATATTATAATTTATTTAACCTATTTATGAACACAATACTGTTTCCAGTCTCCTCTATTACAAACAGCATGGAGGTAAATGGTCTTATACATAAGTAATTTTACATGTTTGTAAGTATCAGTAGGAAAATATCCCAGAAGTGGGATTGTTAAGTTAAAGGGTTTATACATTTGTAATTGGCAGATGTGAGTAAGTTTCTCACCTTCTCTTAGCTGTAGTTTCCTCATTTATAATTTACAGATAATCATAAACATACTTCGTGAAGTGGTTTTGAGGATCTAATGACGTATCATGTAAAGCACTTAGCATTAAACACATTTTAACTTCTATTAATATCACTATAATATTATATCATGTTATAAATTGCAAAGTGCTAAGCATAGTACTTTAAATATAGAATATTAATGTTATCAAATTCTGTAAGTGCTAACTTGGGGATAGCACATGCAATCATATTTTAATAACTCACCTAATAGGTAGTAGTTCCTTGCAGTTAGCATATTTATATGTTAGTTTTGCTACTAATTTGTTTAAAATGTTCTTTTCCTTTAAAATATGCTAAAGACTTTCCCAATTATCCAAATTATGACAAATTGAGTAACAGTTAACTGCTCCAATGGCAAGTTACCCTTCTCTATTAAAATAACTTAAGCTGCATTTTAGCTAAAACAGCCCAAGTTGAAAGTTGTCCAAAGGTGTTATAAGAAATAATGTATCCCAATATGTTATTGGATGATTTTTATGAACATTAGAGGGGTTGGAAGATGTGTACCCTATTCTAAAAAAGATAAATAGTCCAATTGGAAAAAAGTCTGAACTCAAATAATTTAACTCTCTCATTATGAAGATTTCCATGAAATAATTGAAGAGTTGTTAGAATTCATATGAGCTGTACACCTTATACATTTCAACATATTTATTACGTAGGAGGTGTCTATTATATATTCATTATTGTTATATGCACTTAAAGATTAATATTTGCCGTTTGCTATCCATATGTAGGATAATTTTACAGGCCACAAGTTAGATAAAATCACACAAACAAAATAATAAATGTCTAGCTGTAATTAGCACCTTACAAAACTTTCAATTTGAATGTCATATAAAGAAACTATGGGATTTTGAAATATAATAGGTCAGGATTTAAGAGGCCTTTTTGATTTTCAGCTTTGATTGCAAAGAAAGGAAATAAACAGTATTGGTAGGATATGAGGGTGTCTTTTGGAGCTCAAGGGCAAGAATTACAGTTGGTTTTCATGAGGGGCTGTAAACAGTTTAGTTCATAGCTCCATTCTACAGATTTGATGGGTCCTGCTCTCTGCTTCCTTGACCAGCTTTTTTTTCAATCTAACGGGTTTTAACTGGATTGTACTTTGAAATAATTGCTACTCCAAAAGGGTAGCTCCCTAGCTACCTTGAGCTTCTTCTAAAAGTTCCAGGAAAAAAAACTTTAAAAAATTCAGGACAAAACAGAATTGTATAGTGAAAAGAATATTGGACCAGAGAGTAGTCAGCAATCCGGGATTCCAGCCTATCTCAACCATGATCTTGCTATGTGAGTAGGAAAAAATCCATGTAAGTACTCTCTTAGTTTTCTTTGTTCTACCCATTTGCAGGCACATTTATCCCCCAAATCTATGTCAAATATGCCTGTGTTCTCTCTTGCTAGTACTGGAACCTTAGACTGGTCTATTGCAATTGCAGCTCATTTTCTCTCTCCAGCCTGAGCTCACTACTGGAACAGTACAGTCAATACAGGGGAGAATGAAAATTCAAGCATGTATGCATTTTTTAATCCAAATAATAAGCTTTATGATGATACCTTGGATAGAAATGTGTAATATAGCAGAAGGAAAACGGTAGGTGGTGAGTTGGAACATTCACTTTTACACATATTGAAGTCAAATTTCTTGTGTAAAACCTAGTTGACTTGTCTAAGACTCAGCAAGGCGGTCTTGGCTACAGCTATAGATTTGGAAACCAACGGAAAGTAGGTGGTGGTAAATCCACAGGAGAGAATGAAATACCCAGGGAGAGTATATACTGAGAGGAGAAAATTCAAGCAAATAATTTCATAAGTGTGTTATATATCCCATCCCCTTACCCCCGACAGTGCCCCCCATAAAAAAGCCTCAATCAAACAAACAAAAACAGAGCGTGGCACAGCTGTTTCCATGCAGTTGGTTTATTTTGAGAAGTGTTCTCAAAGAACAAGAGTGGGGCATTGTTGGAGTGGAAGGAAAGGAGGAAAAGTTAAGTAAAGGTGATTATCAAGCTGTTCACTATTGTGAACAACTGGAGTGGATCCCTTAGAGATTCACAGAGGAGCCATGAGGAATGCACCTCAGAGGGGAGGTTTATCTTCCCACCAGCTTCTGTGCCTCATTGGATAAGGATGGTCTTGTGGGGTGTCAACTCCCTCATACTTTCAGGTTTTCTAGAGACAGAATGACTGAAAGCTTCCTGCAGGCATCCTATACAATGATGGCAGAGAGCCCTGGACTTCCGTTTTGTTCGTCCATTCATTCCTTTTATTGTTTTTCATTGAATATACACGTATTTTAAATGTGTGCCAGACACTAGGAAGTGGTTAAAGGTTAGAGCTCTTTCTTTGATATCCAATAAGGATGGGTCAACACAGGTATGGAAAAATCAAGAGGAGGTGGAAGAAGCAGAGAGCTTCACATCTGGTGGCCATTAACCCAACTTTTATAGGCACACATACCCTAAATATCCTTTCCATTTCACCATCCACTCTTAATTACTTTCAGTTATTCCTATTGAGGTCAGGGGAGGGGGTGGGAGGAGTGAATTTTAAAAGGGGTTTGGCTACTACCAGCTGTTTTCTTGGAGTGATTAACAAGTCTCTTCCATCTTTGTTATAGTCTGCCTCTGTGTTCCCTGGACACCTCCATTCCAGTGCAAGATTCCCATGGTTGAATTCATGTAAGTAAAATAAATATTTGGTGGAACTTGACTGGAGTAACTATTATTTATTGGCCTTTTGCTGTGTCTCAGGCTATTGTTATTCTTGTTGTAAGTGCCTTACTTGGAACATTTCATTTACTTTTTTCAAAAACCCCATGAAGAAGGTCAATTTGCTGAACCTGCCCACAGCCTCTGTAAGGACATGCAGGATAAACCTCATGCTCAACCCTTCACCATGAAAGATGTGACCAAAGTCCAGGTTATCTGTCCCATAGGATAATGAGAGGCAATTGTCGTAGAAGGAGAGCCTGGGCAGAAGAGCCTGTAGATTCAGGTCAGTGGCTGGTGGCCAGGTCAAGCCATTTTTAAGAAGTGGCTGGTGGGTGAGAGATAGAGGAGGCCAAGAAGCAGAAATGGGAGAGGCCACCCTGAGAGATGGAGGGAGATTCTTCTGTTACTGAGAATTTTCATTTCTATAAAACCTGCATGCCCCTATGGCTTTTGTGCTCCAAATGGTTCTCTTTTTTTCTTTTTTATTTTTTTATTTTTATTTTTTTGAGATGGAGTCTCACTCTGACACCCAGGCTGGAGTGCAGTGGTGCGATCTCGGCTCACTGCACGCTCTGCCTCCCGGGTTTACGCCATTCTCCTGCCTCAGCCTCCCGAGTAGCTGGGACTACAGGCGTCCGCCACCAGGCCCGGGCTAATATTTTGTGTTTTTAGTAGAGACGGGGTTTCACTGTGTTAGCCAGGATGGTCTCGATCTCCCGACCTCGTGATCTGCCCGCCTCGGCCTCCCAAAGTGCTGGGATTACAGGCGTGAGTCACCGCACCTGGCCCAAATGTTTCTTTTACATACATTCCATCTTTCATCTGAGCTAGCTTGAGAGACTTTATGTTCTTTCCAGCCTTGATTAGAACCCAAGCCTGTATTATCAGAACTCCAGCAGCATTCATCATGTTTAATCTATATTGTCAGGAGAGAGAGAGTTTTGTCTAATAGGAATGGCTAGTAGTTAGAGATCAGGTGACGTGTTTTATTTACAGTACTACCCTTTACTTATCTTGTGTCCTTGGGCAAAAACACCCTTTTGGGTTTCTGTTTCCTGATCTATGAAGTGGGGATAAAATTGCTTACCATATCTGTTTTATACAAGGAGGATATATAAAAATAATACAAATTAAAGTTACTTAAAAGTTTACAAAGCAATATATAAATGCAAATCATCGTTATTATATGTGACCAAATAAAAATATATTCATCATATAGCCTTTCACACTAGTAACATTTCTAAGAGCTGATCTAGAACTTGAGTTTCAGCAAAAGTTGTCAGATGTGCTCCTTCCTTATTCTAAGGAAACGATAGAAAAAATGTCTGAGTAGGCATACCTGCCATATGCATGCATATGTATTTCATACATGCTTTTTCACTGGAGCAATGCAAATAAAATCAGTGTTACTAATCCTTCCAGCTGGGTGAGAGTTTATTTTAAAGTCTGAACATTCGTATGTTCACTGGTACGAATATTTTTAGGATACCCCGCACAAGCCTGTTTAGTAGAAAAAAAATTTCAAGTGCCTTCTTGGACAGAAGGTGTTCACTTTATTAAGATTTCAATATTGGGGAAGTTATAAATTTAGTGTTTTATGAATCAAACAAACAGAAATCTTAATACAAAAGTGCTCCAAATCTTCATCTGTCCCTTACTGAAAATGAGTAAATTGTGCAGGCATGAGCTTTCTGTTACTAGAGATGTTTGAGCTGTGGCTGAACAATCATCTAGCAGAGATAGTTAATGCTTGGGGGAGGAGCAGAAGATGGTCTTGATTCCTATTGAAGGTCATGACCACCTTACATTCTGGAATCAGACTGCATTTACTAGAGACTTACTATAATACCTGTTGGAAATAATGCTGAGCCTGGAAGGAGTCTATTATCTAGAATAGGGTCAGCAAACTATGGCTATGGGTCCCATCTGGCCTCTCACCTTATTTTGCAAGTGAAGTTTTATTAGAATGCAGCCATGCCCATTCATTTAGTTATTGTCTAGGGTTGCTTTTGCCCTACAGCAGCAGAGCTGATTAGTTATGACAGAGACCATTTGATGTGCAAAGCCTAAAATATTTACTATCTGACCCTTTATAGAAAAAGTTTGCCAATTTCTATAAGAAGCAGATGGCAAAGTTTACTGCATATTTCTCAGAAAGTGCATCTTTACCTACTGGGGTTATAAGGTGTATTTGAACTTCTGTATCTATTTATTTTTGTCACGTTTATTTTTAATTTCAGCCAATTCTATGCACTAATTTCTTCATCTCTAGGATAGTGATATTACGACACTTGATCTTACCCAAAAAGCACAGAAGCAGTGAGAGTGGTGATATTATTAATATTCACTTCACTGAGTGGTTGTGAAGATTAAAAGGGAATATTTTACATAGCGTGAACCTGAACTCCTAACCACTACACTGTACTACACTGGAACCATATAGAGGCAGATGGGGGTGGATGAGGGTTAGGGATGTCAAGGAAGTTTTGTTGTGGAGGGTGTGACTAGAATTATATTTTTGAAGAGAAGGTGAGGACTCAGATGATAGTGGAGACACTGTTATCGCAGTTATAGGGAGGCTGGCTAAGCTGACCTCTGATCTTCCCAGCAAGGAAGTCATCATACCCTTACCCAACCCCCCTGCCATGTTTTAAAAGGCCAGAGAGATTTTTGCCTGCTAATTATTCACTTGACCCAGAGAAGTAAGTGCTTCTCTACTTTCAATCTGTGCTTTCTATCACTAAGATAAACTAGTAATGATTTGCCAATAAGATGCAATTACAGTGCCTGCTGAGGTCAATATTCAATCAGTGGTTCCATTCTGAACGCTGCTTTGATCAGTTGGTCAAAAATTTCCTTTCTTTAGATGCTTTGTAAACTATGATTGATTGAGAGGTTTGGGGGTTTAAGATTGGAATGTGGTTTCATTTTTAATCCAACTTGTGAGCCGCACTTCAAACTCTGGCCAAATGTGATAGTCTCCCTTGGGAAGCTCCTGCCTACCCTGAGACCAGAGTGGATACTTCTTCCTATTCCTCCCATCATATTCTGCCTTTCTACCAATACAGGTCAGACTCTAAAGAATAGCAAATAAAGTAGACTATTCTGAAGATTTTGTAGAAAAATCAGCAAGTCATGTTGATTACTCTCCAGCAAAAACAGCATTTTTTTTTTTGGTTTTTCAATTCTTTTCTAGTTTCTCCTTATCTGCTTGGTCACCTTTTTCTCCCTTCTCTTTTCCACATACAGGCTTTTAGACTTTCCTCTATAAGTTAGAACGACTCAGCTTCTCCCTCACTTTGGAAATCTTACTCTGAATAGCAAAGTCCTTGTAGATAACTGAACAAAACCATTGACTGTTCCTCAGACACACTTTTTGGGAACACCAGCCCAGATCACCATACCTGATCTGCTGATTTGTAGGAATATAGCAAAATTTGAATGAGAATAAATCTAAGTAAAATTTTGGCACTTCATTCCAGAAACCCAAAATGATGGTACCTCACTGCATCTTGGTGTTCTACTGTATCATAATTAAAGTAGAATGCCTGAGTTTTTGTGGGCTCCTCTTTCTCTCTCTCTCTCTCCTGATCTCCCTAATTCATCTGAAAGTCTAATTTTAGTTCAAGGATAGAATTTCATCTTTGTTTTGATATGGATTCACATTTACTTAGGATTTATAATCAGAGGCTTTAAGTAGCTGGTGGTAGCCCTTCTGTGTTGCTAAGATTTTATTATTTTATGTATAAAATTTAAATCTTTAATCCTCCTGGGTTTTATTTTGGTAATGTAGCAACATATCTTAAATTTAAGATATATCCATAGCTTTTGTTGCAGAAATCTCTCTTATAGGAATCTATCCTAATGAAACAACAGCTGGACTTTAATAAACAAGGATGTTTATCACATTATTTGTCAAGGCAAATACAAAAAAAAAACACATGGATGTACATTAATAAGGGCGCTACCGAATAAAGTCTGGTATAATCCTCTTATGGAACATTAAATGTTTCCTAAAATGGATAAGCCTCTCTCTATTGACCCAGAGGACTGTTGATACTGCATTGTCATGTGAGAAAGGCATCAAATGACAATAACAACTCCAAATCCCTTATATCCTTTTTTTTAAATGTAAAAAGATATGGCTGAGAGTGGTGGCTCATGCCTGTAATCCCAGCACTTTGGGATTTACTTGAGGTCAGGAGTTCGAGACCAGCCTGGCCATCATGGTGAAACCCCATCTCCACTAAAACCACAAAAATTATCTGGGCACAGTGGAGGGCACCTGTAATCCCAGCCACTCGGGAGACTGAGGCAGGAGAATCAATTGAACCCGGAGGAGCGGAAGTTGCAACAAGCTGAGATCCTGCCATTGCACTCCAGCCTGGGCGACAGAGTGAAACTCTGCCTCAATAGAACAAAACAAAACAAAACAAAACAAAAAAACAAAAAGTTTAAGTAGAAAGACACCAGACTGCTATATTAGTTACTCTTGTTGGGGGTAGAAGTATGAGTAACATTTTCTTTACATGGTTTTATATTATTTCACTGGTTTTAAAGATTGTGGTAGACACATGTTAATTTTGTAACTTGACAAAAAATTTCATCTGACAGAAAGATTTTTAAAAATAAAACAAGTAGACAAGTAAAACTATTATTTCTCTATTTGAAAACTGTGGTGTCAGATATTTTGGGAGTTGCATATATGTACAGAGAACAGTCTGTTGTAGTGTTCTGCTCATAGTCAATTTGGGCGAGAGCTGGGATACTTCAGGGAAGGGAGAGGCTCTTAGGTCCAAATTGGAAGAGGAGAATCCTAGAGCTATTCGTCTTGGATTGTGGTGACTTTACCTTTATTTCTGCTGAGATAGATTCTCCCTTGCACCCATTTCCCCGGTGACTCACCTGTCACTTAATCCATTGAGGGTTAAGATGGCTCTAACCCAAAAGTTTTGTGGCAAATTTTT